CACGGACCGGCTCTAGCGCACGGACCGGCTCTAGCTGTTGCAGAAAATCAAGGACCATATCTTCAATATCAAGAAGACAAAGATTCTCACCACTGGGTCAATTGGCAGCACCATGACAGATGGAGAAGAGATTGAGGTTGTTAACCGTTTTAGCTTGTTCAGCTCCACAATCAACACTCTTTGCACTAGCAGTCAGGAAATCAAAGAACTAATTGCTCTGGGAAAATCTGCTGTCAGGGACCTCTCTAGAGTACTTAGAAGCAATGATGTCAGTCTAGGGACTAAGGTTTGCCTGATCCAAGCCATAGTTACTTGCTATGCATCAGAGAGCTGGACAATGACTAAGGATGACAGAAAAATGGATGCCTTTGAGTTATGGTGCTGCAAGAGTCTTGAACATATCATGGACTGCCACGATAACAAATGGGTTTGTCTTAGAGAGGTATAAGTTTCTTCTTGGAGGCTAGGATTTTGAAGCTCTGTCTCTAATACTTCGGGCACATGGCCAGGAGGGAGAGGTTGGTCCTTGGAGAAGGACATCATACTCAGAAGGGTGGAGGGCCAGCACAGTAGAAGATGACCCCGGATGAGATGAATTGACACAGTAACTGTGGTAATGGGGGTAGGTGTGTCAGAGTCGGTGAGATTGACTCAGGACAGGGCAGGGCTCAGAGCTGTTGCACACAGGGTCGCTATGAGTCATGGCACATAACAATAACAAACAAGGCAGTGGGGAGTGTTTGCAGGAAGGCAGGGACAGGTCAGCTGGAGGAGCCACGGGTGAGGACAGGGACTTCCTGTGCTTGTCCTCCTCCTCTGAAAAGAATACCTTATTAACGTACAAGGCTGCTCTCACTGCAAGGGACAAAAGCAGCTTTTCACTTCCTAAAATAAATATAAAATTTACAAAATCTAATAAGGCATGCTCACTGTGGAAGCTGGAGGGGGCCTCTCACGCCCAGCCAACAATTCACCAGGCCCCTGGCTCTCCTGGCCCTCCACCTGGCGCTGGAGAGGGGCCTGTCCACTGCCTCGCCCTCCCCAAACTCTGTGCTCCAGCGCAGGGACTCTGGCCACTCCTGGCTCTCCTCCCACTCCACCTTAACCCTCCAGCAAGCCTGGTCTTCCTTCTTCCCACTCGGAGCCCACCTGAGCTTGGTCCTGGAAGTTTTTTCCTGAATTCCCGACTACAGGCACTGCTCCTTTGGACTATGCAGAGAGACAACAGCCACCTCTTCGGCTCTCAGTGCAGCAAGGTTAGACTTGACCTCTTAAGACAACAAGGTCACCTCAACAGGACTTCCCCTCAGTACAACACGGTAAGACTATCTGCCTCAAGATTAACACACTGT